GGCACACTCTGCATTGTAATCTGGTTTATTATTATAATCTTGTTTAAGGAGAATGAGGAGTAACTTTAAAGGAGTACTGCAAAGGGAGTTTGAGGAGATATGAGCTTAAAGGGCAGCATAGCACATGCATAGAGCAGATGGAATACACGCCACTGATGGGCCATGTTCTGGCCCTGTTATCACACTGCATCATTCGGGGTACATCGAGCTTTTATGAAAAGCAAACAGAGGAGGAGATGATTCCGTGGATTGGTGAGAGGCTCTGGAACCTCTGACCTTCAGGTCAACATTTCTAAGCCAGCCCTGGTTTGACAGTGACTGAAAGTTGTGACTTTCCAGTGGCCCTTGCATGAAATGAATTTGGTGGATCTTAGTCCAATTTACAATAGATTAGATGACAGCCCACACCATAAAGATTGCATGCACAACTGGCATTAATTGCTCCTCCATAACCCTGCACTGTTGCAGTCTCAGCAGAGATGCAAAGGACTGATGAGATCATGGAGACAGAGCTCCCTTCTTGGACCATTTAAAGACATTTGAGGCATATAGGCAGGGCAGCATGCAGATAATTTACTCTGCTGCTGCCCATGCTCTGTGGATGGACAGAGGCCTTTGGTCCCCAGGACTGGCAATCTGGCACCTTTCATCAGCACTATATAGAAGGGAAACTCCCCCACAACTTGGAGCAAATAGCGGGATCCAAAACCCATCACCTCCACATAAAAGCTGTTAATGTTTGTGTGCATGCTCCCCTGGTTCGCCCCACCTCAGAGGTAGCAGCATCTGTCATCTGGTGATTAGCAGATTGCTAATCACACACTGCAATCGCTATGAACAGCCGTTGTTACACAATTCACACAGCGAGTGCTTTGGAAAAGCCAACTTTCTCCTTCTGGACTCGTACGCTAGTTCACTTCATCTCCCCTCCATAGACTTTCCCTCTCAAGGAGAGTACGCGGGGGCCCTGTGGGATTTGCAGCAAGCAGCAGATAATCACAGGCAAAGCCAATAGAAGCAACACCCAGAGAAAGGCGACATGCTTTGGTACACCAACCATACGGTACTGGGAACCACAGACTGAGTTCTAACTCTGACTCACTACGTGACCAGGGGTGAGTCACATCCTCTCTCTCTGCCTGAGTTTCCCCATCTGTAAATTGAGGATAATATCTGTCTTATGTGATGCTTAATTCATTCCTATCCAGGAAGTGCTATTAAATGCTCAGATGGAAGTTGCTAGGGAAAGGGAAAGTATTGTCAAATCGTATCCACCAATGCAGAAAACTCCACCCAAATCCAGCCTAATGGAACAGAGGATGTTACAGGCAGAGAATTATAGTTCTCTTTACTCGCTGCATTTGCCATTCTTGTGATGCTCCTACACCGCAGGTATTACCATCCCCATATTATATATGGTGAAACAGTGCCCGGCAATGGACGTTACATGAACCCCCAAGGCAGGCAAACTAATGCAGAGATATTGAGCCTGCTTTTCCAGTGGTGCTGATCACCCACAATTCGGTTTCGAAGCAATGGGAACTGCAAATGCTCATCACCTCCAAATATCAGGCTCTCAGTGATTTGCTGAAGGCCCACGTCATTATCATTCCAACGAGGCATTAGGCTCCAGCCTTACGCCTATGTGACCGACAGGGTCCCACACAACATGTGTTCATATGAACCAGCAAGACAGAATGCCACTGCACGTTCCCTGTCCACAATCCTGAGAGACTCCAGCACCAGCAAGGCTACAACTGAGACTCAGGGCTTGTCTACACAAAATAATTAGACTGCAGCAAGCTGAGGTGTGAATCTACCCCACGCTAACCAGCTGTTCGGGGAGATCAGTGGCTCTCAACCTTTCCAGATCACTGTAACCCTTTCAGGAGTCTGATTTGTCTTGTGTACCCCAAGTTTCACCTCACTTAAAAACAACTTGCTTACAAAATCAGACATAAAAATACAAAAAAGTGTCACAGCACACTGCTACTGAAAAATTGCTGACTCTCTCATTTACATCATATAATTATAAAATAAATCAATTGGACTGTACATATTGTACTTACATTTCAGTGTATAGTACACAGAGCAGTATAAACAAGTCATTGTCTTTATGAAATTTTAGCCTGTACCGATTTCGCTAAGGCTACATAAAAAGCATGTCGTAAAACTAGGCAGATATCTGGATGAGTTGATGTTCCCCCTGGAAGACCTCTGTGTACCACTGGATGAGAACCACTGGTGTAGTCCCTGCTGATGCAGGTTAACAATTTGTTAGAGTGCTTTGATGTAGTTCCTCTTTGAAATGGGATTAGCTCAAAGTGTTCTAGCCAATGGTTAATGCATATCACCGGGGTCCACATGGACAGTTAGACCATGGCAGGCTAGTGTGGGGTAGATTCATACCCCAGCTTGCTGTAGTCTAACTGTTCATCTAGACAAGCCCTAAATTCCCAAACTTCCCAGATCACGTGAAGGGGTCGCCCACAGGCCACACTGCTTTTCATACTGGCAATATTGATGGCTTCTCTGCAAATGAGGAGACAGTTTGTCACCAAAGTCAGCTCTTCTCTGTGTGCCCCATGAAGTGTTTACATCCTCCTGCACGTGGTGTCACGTAGGTTAAATTGCATCTGCTCGGCTGTATCACAGCAGCCTATGACAAGATGTAACATGTCACAAATATACAGGCCCTGACACAGAGTGAGGTTTCCCCTCTGCTCAGAGGGAAAAGGTTAATGAAGCAAAATTGCATGAGCTGCAGTGTGTGGATGCCCAGGGGTTAAAATTCCCCTGACAACTCATAAACCAGGAAATTACTTGGTGCCTAATTGAATTCCACTGTTCTTTATACTTACCAGGGCCGGTTCCAGGCACCAGCTTACCAAGCAGGTGCTTGGGGCGGCCACTTCGGAGGGGGGGGCACATCCAGCTGTTCGGCGGCAATTCGGTGGATGGTTCCTCACTCCTGCTCGGAGCGAAGGATCTCCAGCTGAATTGCCGCCGCAGATCGCACCTTTTTTTAAAAAAATTTGTTTGGCTGCTTGGGACAGCCAAAACCCTGGAGCCGGCCCTGATACTTACACCTTCCAGGAAAGGTGATCAGTAAAGATCCCAGAGCACTGTCTTCAGGAGAAGGAGAGTTAACCTTTGTGTCCCAGTCAGATTTAATCTCAGGAAGCTACAGTGTCAACCCAAATTGCACTTTCAAGTGGATATTTACTTCTGCACCTCCTATTCCTGTGAGCTGCTAAACAATTACTATATTCCACCCCAGAGATAGCTGGATTTCAGAGACGTGTAAAGAGCTCTCAAATTATTTCACCTACTGCAAACGGGTACTGAGGTTTTTAGTTAAGGTTTGAAGTAATAGAAGATGATTTGATGGCATTTGATTATTAATAATATTTTTCTGCTATTATTATACTTTATTTTGTATGAGCTGGGAGGATTGTTTAAGTAATTCACTCACAACAAGGGCAGATCCTCTCACTTCATTCAAGAAACAGGCTGTGACTCGAGTATCAGACCAGAGACTCATAAGATGAAATCTTGACCCCACTGATATCAATGAAAGTCCAGATGAGGCCAAGATTTCATCCACAGATTCCACAGCAATAAAGAACCATTTTTGATCATAGAGTCTGACCTTCTGTGTAACATAGGCCACCAATGTCTACCCAGCGATTCCCACATCATGCTTCATATTCTGTGGTTCAGTGAGAGCATACATTTTAGAAAAGCATCCAAATGTGATTTATAATTTAAAATATTGGTGAATCAACCATGTCCTTTGATCAAAGGATCTGACATCTGCTATCAAAGCATGCCATTGATTCGATTGTCAACGTCTTTTTTTTTTTAAATCATGCCACATAAAGCATAAGTAGGGCTCAAACGCAGGGCTAGAAATTAACCTTTTTCCGAAGAAGTGAAGGACTAATCCAGATGGATTATTTATTTCAACCAAGGGCATTCTGATACAACTGAAGCTGATCTGATCTGCTGTGCCACTGCCTGAAGGTGATGTTGCTTTCCAGACACTGAAACTGACACATGGAGTGCATGCCGCTTGCTGATTCTTCTGTTTTAGTGTCTGGACAGCAGCAGCTCTTGGTAGAAGCAACCAAGTCACAAAAAGCTCAAGTCAGGTTAGCTGGGGATGCGTCTATTCTCGGTATTTGCCCACATCAAAGCTGACCAATCCCAGATTTGGATCTCTGCACCAGAGTTTCCAATTCTGTTAAAGATCCAGACATGCTTCATTAAGATAGGAAACAAGCTGGGTAAATATTAAACTGATTTACTGAGCTTTTTCTTTGGCCGATGGAATAAGTTAATTAAGTTATTATAGACTGTTCTTGAATTCGGGAAGCAGCTAAACACGCTTTTCACCAAGGTAATGCAATTATTTCAGTACTGTTTTCACCAGCCAGGAAGGAAAGGGGAATAAGGCACACAGACAATCAAAGTAGCTTTGGAATCATTACTTTAGTCCCCAAATTTTTCATTATCTTTAATTGGACAGAGGCTCAAGTCACTAAATTTAGATCCAAATGCAAAGCGAGAACACCTCCAGGATCTGGGCTGTTCAAGATCTGAGGTTTTCATTGTGCTGTTGATATAACGCTGGGGGATCATCTGTAAAATTCAGATCTGGATTCATATTTCTTTTTGGAGAGCTAGTGTGAGCCATTGGTGAGTGTGTGTTACAGGTCCTCCTGTTTGTGCCAATCCTCAGAGGATAAGAGTTGTTCAAATCCCCCTGAACGGTCTCTCTTTAGCTGTAGCAACTCATGCATTAGTCCTGGAAGTCCCTGGTTCAATCCGGAATGTGCTGACTGTCACACTAGGACTGGAGGGGTTTGGTTTGGACAGCAGCCATAGCCACAGTTAGTCTTGTGCCCAGGGTTAGCTTCTCTAGTTTGTTAGCCAGTATGAAGCTCAATTCAAACTAACTTGGTTATGATTGAAATAAGCGAGGTGCTGTGTCTTACCTTAACACTGTATCCGTGGTCTCTTAAATACTTGTCGCTTGTCTTAAAGATTTCAGGCGACTATTATTCAGCCTCTGGAAAATGGGGCTGGGGTAGGGGACACAAAAATCAGAATGAATGAATGGTTTGTAAAGAATCTGTACATTGCCTTTTATACGTTTTCTAAAAGTTCTCTAGAATTTTTAAGCCATGACTTTTAAAAGCAACTAGTGATTTCCGATGCCCAAACTGAGACACCTTAAAGGGGCCCAATTTTCAGAGGGTGCTAAGCACCCCCGACCACCTCGCTTCCCCGCCCCGAAATCAGGACCCCTTAAAAGGTGTTTCTGGTTAGGCATCACAAAGCTGAGGCACTTGAAAAAAATCACTAGTTACAACTGAAAAGCTTGGCTTTAGCCTCTTGATCGCCATCACGTTTTAACGAGAGTCACATTATTTGTACATTACAGCAAAACATCAAGGCAAATTTTCAGAAGGTCAAATTCTGCTCTCAGTTTCATCAGTGCAAGTCCAGAATAAATATTTGATGTTTTGCCTTGGGTTAAAATCATGCTTTTTAAGCATGTCAGTGGAAGAGTCTTCTCTGGAATATTTCCCCTCTTGGGATCTGAGATTTTGGGGCAGCTTTTATGTAATTGCGCAATTGGATTGTTTTTCCTGAGAAGACTTTTTTTTTTAATTAGTTTCTCAAACAGCAAGCATTTGACACAGTAAAGGGTGGATGGAGTTACATGGGGGATGCAAATCTGGAATAACTGAGAGCAGAATGTGACCCCCAAAACAGAAACCATGTAAAATGGACAAACCTTACAAAGATTTAACATTAGCATCTTTGCTTCACAGAGCTTAGAACATACACATCAAAAAAGCAACCTTAAGAAGATGTGATGTGCCACTCCCTCTATGGCTGGCTCTAAATCATGGGATCACAGATATAATAGATAGGTTTTGTCAATTAGATAATGCACTTCTTCTCCCTTAGGATTGTTCCCTACAGTACATTTATTAGTATTTTGTCCAGATGAGGTGTAAAAGTCCCAAGCAATGCAGAGTCCAGTACTTCCCATAGCAGACTACTTCGCAGCCTAATCCTTCTCACTGCCAGGATTTCCCACCTTCCCAGTCAGTCTAAATTTCCCCTCTTTCCCATTCCTCCTTGTTTTACCTCTTTGTACCAAACTAAACAATCCCATTTCCCGCAATACCCTTCAAGTATTTATATAAATTCATGCTCCCCTCACCCCCAATCAATTTAATTATGGTTTAGGCAAAATGCACATATTTTGCTCCTTTAACCTCCCCCTCAAAATCAATCCATTCAGTCCCCTGATAATTTTGTTGTTCTTCTCTCAACTCCTTTTCAGTTGATCAGTGTTCTTCTGGCAAACCAAAGCGCAGAACTGAGTGCGATATTCCAGATGTGGTCACACCACAGCTGTATGAAGCAAACTTCCTCCTGCTGCCCTGGGGGTGGTGGTGGTCTTTGCACACACATTGCCCAGAACTGAATTTACCCTCAGCTCTCATGACATATGCCTATTTTTTTTTTAAAGTCCAGGAAGAAATAAGCCAAGAGGACTCCTCGCTAAGTTGTTAAGAGTGTAAATAGTTCCTCCACAAAGCCCTTATGACCAAAACTGGAACACACAGGGAGAGAGACTGACGTTATGGCTCAGTGGGGTAGTTCCAGATACCATATCACTTGATCATCTTTTTGACAGCATCACCATTCCACTGTTTGTACGGCTAGGAAAACAAGTTGCCTCTAGACACATTCCAGTCACACAATGGCATTAAGCTACCAACCATCAACAGACCTCAGAGAAGCCTTTGTTACAGACATATTTAAAAGCATGATCTTAACCAGTAAGAACAGCCATACTGGGTCAGACCAATGGTCCATCTAGCCCAGCATCCTGTCTTCTGACAGTGGCCAATGGCCGTGGCTACACTCAAAATTTCAAAGCGCTGCTGCGGGAGCGCTCCCGCAGCAGTGCTTTGAAGTGCGAGTGTGGTCGCGCGCCAGCGCTGGGAGAGAGCTTTCCCAGCGCTGCAGGTACTCCACCTCCCCGAGGGGATTACACTGGAGCTTTACAGCACTGTAACTTGCTGCGCTCAGGGGGGTGTTTTTTCACACCCCTGAGTGAGAAAGTACACTGGCGCTTTACAGCGCTGCAAGCCAAGCCCAATGTCAGGTGCCCCAGAGGGAATGAACAGAACAGGTAATTATCAAGTGATCCATCTCCTGTCACCCAATTCCTAGCTTCTGGCAAACAGAGGCTAGGGACACCAACCCTGCCCATCCTGGCTAATAGCCATTGATGGACCTATCTTCCATGAACTTATCTAGCTCTTTTTTGAACCCTGTTATAGTCTTGGCCTTCACAACATCCTCTGGCAAGGAGTTCCAGTGGTAAAGCCTCAATTACGTACCACTGTCTTCAAAGAAAATCTGTTTTTAGTCTCACCTTCCTTCATGGATTATATCTAACCAGATATACCTTCTGCTGGAGTCTGAATGTGAGCTATTAGAAGCCTCACCTTTTCCCAACTCAAGCACATAATAAAAAGGTAATATCCATTGAGTGATTACCAGCTAAGAATCACCAGCTGCTGAGCTCACTTGTGTAACAAAATGCTGGAGGGGAAAGAAGAACGCAGGAACTTTTATATCCACAATTTGCGATTGTGAAATCACACGCATCTGGGAGAACATCCAAGAACAATGTTGGTCTGTACTGGAGGAGTCAAATTTCCGGCAACACAAATGAAACCAGAGGCCAAATCTGCTCTTGCAGTTACATCAATATGAATCCATGTTAACCCCACTGGAGCCAATGGAGTCATTCCCATTGCATAGGTGAGAGTCTGGAGTAACTCCACTGAAGTCAGCTGAGTTGGTCCCGTTACGCTGGTATATCACAGCAGAATTAAGCACAATGGGTGTAGTAAGAGCCACCAGCTGCGTTTTATTTGCGAAACAGGCAGGTAACAATGAAGGCGAGGTTGGTGAAAACCCAAACACCTCCTTCTCACATGCCCAAATCCCTCAACAGCTTTCCCTGGGAACAGGAAGCAGCCCCTCTGCACTCGGTTTAAAGAACATAGTCCCGTTCCTGGGCCCTCAGAGGATTCATGCTTTAACCTTTCTGTGCAGCAGGCATGCACCTTATCAACATGCAGTGTTATGGGACGGAAACTACAGCCAGGCTGAATAAGAACCAATAGTGGCAGGCAACCCACCAGACAGGAGGAAAAGGTCAGCAGCAGGTTTTGTGTTGGAAATAAGCTCGTGTCACTGATCGTGCTGAGCTGAGAAGTTAGGAAAGCCAAGTATGGAGCACAGGGACAGGTTTCTAGGTTGTACTAAGAAGGAAAAAAAAATCAACGTAGGAGACATTTACCCCATCTGCAGATGGCTCAGCTCAAGGCCCAACACACTGCTTATAACCCATCTGAGACCTGCACTGTGGACCTGCTCCTGAGGGAGATTGCCTGAGACAGGTCACAGTTACAAACCAAACAGGGACCTCTGAATTAGGCTGTAAGGGCTTAAGCAGGCTACGTGGCCTAGTTTGCGCTCTATTTAACTGCCTCCATCCTACTTCCCTTCTTCAGAGAGAGAGAGAGAGAATGAGAATATGGCCAGGGAATGGGACTCAGTGATACCTTAAAGGGAGGGGGAAGTGCTATTTGATAAATGAGTGTATCCTCTTCCCTTCCCAAATGGAGAGCTGAGCAGTGCGAGGGCAATATTCCGAGGGCCAACTCTTCCATCCCCCCGTCCATCAACAAGTGCCCGTAGCCAGAGTCAGGAGAGGTGACTTCTGCAACAACGGGGAAGGTGAAAGGAAGCCTCTTTACCCCCAAAGCCACTGAATGGCAGCAGATCCATTTCAGGGTTGCTAAAGCTGTAACTTAAGGTCTATGATGGGAAGGAGGGTAGAATGAGAGTGGAATCCACCTATTTTACAAACATGTAAAATATACACCAACTGGAGCTCCAGGTCCCCTCCTGCCCTGCCTTTCTCAGCCCTGTTGCACGTGGGCACTTAAAAAGCTCCCTGTGGGGCTGTCCTCTGCAGACATCTCATTCCCTATCCCGTGCATTGGAAAAGGTCTGGGGTCACCTATGGGTACAAGGGAGCAAGCAGGAGCCTGCCCTGAGGAAGGAAGAAGAGGGAGCAGAAATAGGAAAGTCACACCAGCCGCCGTGACAAGCTCAGAAAAACAATCAACAGTCTCACCAAGAAAATACTTCTGTTTGTCCTCGAAGGGCTGAAAGAACAAAGCAGGATTTGTGGTTTCTCACTCCCCTGCAGGAATTCACATTCTGGGACATTCCAAATGCCATTTTTCTACAGAGAATTTAATGATCAGTCATACCCAGAATGCAGCCAGCAGAAAGACACCAACGTGCTCATGCATTGGCACAAGCACCGGGATAGGCTCAAGGCGGTGACATTAAAGAGATCCAGACGTCTGAGCCAGAGAATCACAGGAGTCGCCAGTTATGGCTTGACTGCAGAGCTAGCCTGTGCTACAGCCTAACCCTCCTTCCATGCACATACAAAAATCTCTAACCTGGCCTTGAGGGTGATTTAAACCAGTGGGTCCCAAACCTTTTGCTAAGGTGACCTGCCAACTGCAGTTTGTCTTTTTTTGCAATTCACTATAACATATAAGCACCCTCTGCCCTGGCACCATAACCCAAACCTTGGCCAGGTGGAGAGGGGAAGCCCTGGGGAATGAGGAGAAAGAGAGGCAGAGGGGTTGGAGAGCAAGCCCACAGCGGTGGCTCCTGTCCCATAGGGCTGGCCCCAGCTCAAGGCACCGCAACTTGGCATGCGGTGTCACAGCATCACTCAGGTTTGGCCCAGCTGCCCCTCACAGTGTGATATCAGCAGGACCCATCCACTGTGAATGACTTTACAGAGTGGCCAGTTTAATGCATGGCGAAGAACCGTCAGATAGCCTGCCAGAAATCCAGCCCAGGCTAGTAGAGCATCATTGTAGACGCAGCCCCACAGATAAGGCTTTGCAATGGGAGTGCTCCAGCAGTGATGGCATTGAGTCAGAGTTTAAGG